GCTAACAGTAAAGTAAAACAAACAGACTTTGCTTTATCTTGTTCCTAGATAGTGAAATCCATAATGTGTTAAGAAAACTATTATACTTGAAATTGTCGTGTTCTGCTATAATTCATGATTCATCTCTCTGCACACAACATAGAATCAACCCTTTTGTACAGAGTACACCATTTCTAACAGTGAGACACCACAAGTTGGTAGAATGAAGGGAGTTTTCACCAAGATGCATAAGAAGTAGAAATGAAAAGGTTAAACTTCCAGCTCCCTATCTTTGAAGCTTTCCTGACAAACACCAAATTCTCAATACATTCATCACTTTGCAGTGTCAACTTGTAGCCCTTTGCATTTTGAGATCTTGCTCATGAAGGAGGTACTCTCTGAATTTGCCTGGAAAAGATTATGACTCAATCTGAGCAGTTCAGAAATATAATAGCCTGTTAAGATTCATCATCATAGCTGTCCTTGGCCTTTGTTTCTTCACCTTCCAAATTTCACCTCATTTGCCACAAATCTCAGACAACAAAAGGGCAAAATCAACTCGCAGTTCCTCAGCATTTCACAATGCACAATATTTTGTTTGTTCTTACCTGAAATTCAATAGAAGTAAAAGGATTAGATTTAGATGAGATGAGTTCTAAAAAAATCTCTTCAGATTACAATGTAACTCTATTCTATTACTAAAAAAAGGCTGCTGAATTCTATCAAGGTTGTTGAGAGGAGTTTCAATAGTGATGGGAGGCAGAAGCCAAAATTTCTTCAAAAAAGGAATAAATGAGAGGTGGGAAAAAATGAAGTTAATCTGTATTTGAAAACAGTGGTATAAGAAAGTATGGATGCTTGGAAGTTGAAACAGGGACTTTTCTTTAGGTGGGGAAGATCTGAGTAGGTTTATAGGCTGAAGGAAGGCAGCCGTGGAAAGGGAAATTGGAAATATGAAAAAGATGGTATTGTTCTTGGAGGAAAGTCCTGGAAGAAGAGGAAGGGATAAGATCAGGGTCAGCATTAGAAACGAGGGATAAGACTACTTTCTGGGAGAGAAAAGGAGTAGGAGTGGAATTTGGTGATGAGTCAAGAGGAAGGGAAGCTAATTGGAGCAGTCATGGGATGGCCTCAGTTATTTCAGTTGAGGTCAACTGGCTGAAGGTGACCAGGGTAGTGGACCATGGGAGCCTATGTAACAACTGCAGAGGCCAGATACAGGAGATATGAAACCCTAGACTGACGTTCTATACACAGGGAGCTTTCATACTGTCCATGAGCCAGAATTAGTTGCAGTTAGCTCAGTTGGTTAGAGCACAGTGTTGATAACACCAAAGTCAAGGCTTCAGATTCTCATACCGACTAGCCACCACCACCCCCAAAACGAAGCAAATAGTATTGAAAGTCTCATATTGCATGCAGCTTAGAAGGTATTTTCATATGTTATAACAAACGTGTCAGCCCACATATTTACTAATCACTTAAAAATAAGCAAACTTAAGGCCAGAAGGATTGCTCAGGTGTTCTACACCTAGTAATTGTCATGTCAAGAGCCTTTGGGTTTTTTTTCTCCTCCATCTTTTAATATTTTGTCTTTCACCCTTGTGTCTAGGAATTTTGCTTATAAGGTCCCTAAAGCATGAATTAAGCTTTGGTGATAAATAACCCATACTATATATAGAATTGCTATCTTTGAGACTTTTCTACTTCCAGATGCATGATTTACAGCACATCAATCAAATATAACAGGTGCTAACATTTTACTGAAATACTTTTACATACCCAGAAACGTAATTATAAAATTAGCAAGACTTCTCATTCATTCGTTGAATATTTATTGAATCTCTACTGTGCCAGGCATTTTGCTGAGCAATATCAACAGAACTGAACCTGACGTTTTCTATCAGACAAGTACACTGAAAAACACCAAAACAGTGTGGTAAGACATCCTGTGCAAAATCAGTCTTGGGTGAGTGTGCATGTTTGTGTAATTAAACAGCTTGCCGAGATGAAATATTAGATGTAGGGTTTGAGAGAGCAAGAAAAGTCTAGAATAAAGGCCTGGTTTCTGGCTTAGGCCAGTGTGTGAATGAATGGTGGTATATTTCACCAAGCTATGGAATAAGCGAAGCCTGAGTTTCATTTAGGGCATATTTAATTGAAGTATCTGTGAGTCATCCCTGTGGAGATAAACAGTTTGAAGCTGGCTTTACAGTTTGAAGCTCAGAAGGATTTAAGAGCTGAATATAGAAGCAATACAGAAACAGACTATGAGAGGTTAAGTCTTTGGATATAGTTACAAACCAAGATCTCAGTGGCTTAACACAAGAAAGCAAAAGCTTGTTCGTACTGTAAATCTAATGCAGAGTGGCGGGGCTCTGCTTCAAATTAACTCTCAAAGAACCAGGCTGGGGCCGGCCCCGTAGCGCACTCGGGAGAGTGCGGCGCTGAGAGCGCAGCGACGCTCCCACCACGGGTTCGGATCCTGTAAGGGACTGGCTGGTGCGCTCACTGGCTGAGCACGGTGCAGACGACACCAGGCCGAGGGTTGCGATCCCCTTACCGGTCACGAAAAAGACAAAAAAAAAAAAAAAAAAAAAAAAAAGAACGAGGCTGATAACTCTTGTAACTGCACTGTCTGGAATATGAGGCTGCCTTAGTCAC